CCATCCGTGACCCTAGAAAATAAAAAGATAAGAAAATTTTTTTCACTGACTCTTTTTATCCGTGAGAATCGATGACGTAATTATACAAATATTTGAATACGTACAATCGTGTATTACCTGTTGTCGTTTTTTCCCCTCATCATCATCAGTCTAAACTTATACTAATATGATAGCCGATAGGTATATAAAACATGTCGAAGTAATCAAAAATACTAGAGGTCAACATCACACTAATGGTATATTATAACTTGCATATTCAGATAGACTTTAATAAAAATGACAACATCTTTTTCATTATTTTTATCGATACAATAATAGTTAAATTAAACAATGTGCAATAAGATATTATATACAGATACCTAATCTAGTATAAATATATATATTTTTTTAATAATAATTTAAGTATATTTAATCAAGTTAAATGATACAAATAGTAAGTTATAGGTATAACATTTCTAATTGCTTTTATAAATAAATACCAAAAAATTTAACTAAAATTTTACTGTTTATTATTTTTACTTATAAGTGAAATTCTATTTTTATTAATAATTATCTTGTACAATTATTATACCTCAAATATCTATAAAAATATATAATAGTATTCAATAAAAGTATACATTTTGAAAATATATTGTTTTAATTAGATTGATATTTAAAAGCATATTTTATAAATAAGTTAATATAAATTGAAATGTTATTTCAATAAAAAAGTAACTACCGTTGTGAGATAGGATTAATTTAGAATAACTATAATGTTTTTAGGCAATGTCGGCAAAGGTCCTTTTACTTGTAACTCTTAATTCTAAGAATTGTTGATTACAGTGATTGTTCATTATTATAATTTTATATAATTGTTATCTAATTATAAATCACTTGATCCCTGACAGCATATAACTTATTTTATTATCACCGAATCGTATTAAGTGAAAATAATATATAGTATCTACTTTTTAACGTTCTATTCAAGACAGACGTATAAGAACAAAACACTTTATGTACATTACCATTATCTATACAAATGATTTAAGAGACACTTATCCATAACGACGATGTTTTTACTTTATTATCATTTATTTTTTATACTGATTTCTTATCATTTAATATACATATAAATGTAAAACTTAAACAAATTTCACGATAAATATATTATTTATTTTCAACTTAAAAAGTACTAAGTATGTTTATGCAATTGAATCAATTTAGTAGGAAGTTTTAATATTAATAACATTTTATCGTTTTCAAAATATATTACATTGTATTACATGCCTAATGCCTATACTTACTTAAACCTAATCTACTTATTATTTATTTTCTTTTTAAATTTAAATTGTCTTAATATTTTAAAATCTTAAAAATTTATTGTGACTTTAAACATTTGATTCAAATATAATAACTTTTTGATCAGAATTAAAACTATTTGAAAAATAATTTATACCTGCTTTTAACTTTTCAATCCTATTTCTTTTTTACAATTTTTTTTTCATAATTGCCTATTTATTTTAATTAAATATATAATTCATATAACATTATATAATTCGATATTAATATAAATTAAAAACAAATATATTGTAATTTTATCATAGTAAATGGAATTTAAAAAAAAATAGGAAATAGTATATCATAACACTTAAATCTAAAGTGTTAATAATTATACCATATTTATCGACCAACATTGTATGTATAAATAATATCAAAGTTTAATAGCTCAAAATTCTCAAACGTTTTTGCACCTTTATTCTTTGTACAAAGTAGGAATATGATTACATAGATTATACTATTATATAAAACTATAGAGTAAAAACTATATTATACTAATAATGTACATCGATCAAATAAGTAAAAAACTTGAGTATTTAAGATTATAATATATTATGCATATGAACACAAAACAAATATAGTAATATACTATCTGTTCAAACGAGTCTTTATAGATTAATTTGAAGGAGGTATTTATTAATAAAATATTTGTAATCAACTATAACTTAAAAATAATTAAAACTTACTTTTATTACATTAAAAATAACAAAAATGAAAAACTATTACTTTTAAATACCATTTATATTTTGTGAAGGACCGTCATTGACCCCATCTTTCCACTTCTACACAATGAAGTACCTGTATCTGTTTAGATATTTATTATTTATTTATTTATTAATTGATTATTATTTTTATTAGGTATATATTAATTTATACTAAATTATAAATTTTAGTTTCAATCATTCAATTCTGAATAAATTAAACACTCGTCATATTATATTATCATATAATTAATTTTACAATTATTTATAAAACAAAATATTTTTAAAATGTTCGCCTTTATAATTGTAATATTTTTTTCCAATTTTCAATTCTAATTTATAACAATTATCAACTATAAGAAGTGTTACATTTTTATTATCAAGCCACAGTTTTATTACAGTTTTATTCAAGTCACTCAATTTCCTTATAAAAACACCCTAATTTAATACAGTTTACGATGTAACAGTTCTCTTTAAAATGTTTTTTGTATAAAAACAACATTACTTTAATAAAATAACCTAACCTAATCTATGTTGGAAAATTAGTTAAGGATTTTATTTTATATTTATGTAATATGATTTACAACTAACAAGCAAGTATTTATGAAAATATCTGCGAAATTCTTTAAAACCCTATTAAGTAACTATTATTTTTTTTATTTACAATTTACAACAATGATAACTAATAAAAAGTGTTGTAACTTTAGTATACAAAAATATTTGGAACTTAATTTGATAGGTAACAATCTTTATTTCTTAAATGTATTTAAATATTAATTTAAAATACTAAACAAATCTTAATAAAGATAAAAACATATAATTGAACATTTGTAGCTTGTCGAAGATTATCTACACATAAAAACCATCATGCGCATCTATATTAAACGTATTTCATTATTAATCTCTTCTGAAATGCTTAATAGCGTTAAGTCAAACAACCATTCGGTGTTTAAAATATAATAATACAATATTTATTATTATTTTTATGTTAGAATGGGGCGGGGTGAGATTTATCCGTAGAGATTATAATTAAAAGAGGGTGTATGGAAAGATAACGAAAAAAACTACAACCCAGAGATGACTATCGTTCGGTAACATTGAGAGATTTAGAGATGAAAACGCAGGCCTGGGTCGAGTTATCCAATAATGTTATCAGCAGGATAATGTGAATGCGCCGGGTCCCATCAGCTCTCGGCTAATCTGAACGACTCATCTGGGGAGTCCAACCGAGATGATAGAGCACGAACTATCAAACATCATCAAGGGCAAACCTATATAACCAGTCTACGCAAGTGTATATATACATACACGTGCATATAAAATGCGTGTGTGTGTTATTATCGCAACTATGAGATAGGTCACAGGACCCAATGTGTGACAAACAACATTTCTTTTTTCCATTTATAACAATATGCAGCACAAAATATATCATATCGTAAAATCCGTTTTTGTTTTATTCACAAACAAAAAATATAAGATAATAACAACAATATTTATTATTCATGTCTGTTTAAACTTCCAGATTTCGATAAAATTATCTCAAATATATAAATTTAAAATAATTTAAGACACTTTCGTATTGCACAAGTAATGTAACTGACAACTATTATTGATTAAAATTCTATTTAAAATAAAATTTAAAGAAATAAAATTATATATTTTTAATACTAAGTACTTTTAAAATATATTGTAATAATAACGAAAATAATATAAAAGACTTCGTAAAGTTATACAACCTATAAGAGAGATGTGAATTTATAATTGTTTTATTTTATTAGTAGGTATGCTGCTACAATAATGTTTTTAATAACATGATGTACGATATTATGTATTTTGATTCAAATTTTTTTTAAATAGTCAAATATAATTTTCCAATGAATTCATTATGTGTACTAGAAAATGTACAAAATAAAATCAATGATCACAATCTATGATATGAAAAGGTAGTTTTATGTCATAAAATAAACATGTATAATTTGAATTTAATCTATTTATTTGATTTTTTGCATAATTATTTTTAAAAAAAATCTGTATTATGTACCTGATTAAAATACAAGGCATGTACTCGTATTATCTTAGTCTTATATGAATTAAACCAAGTTTAAATAAAAACTGTTTCTAAATTAATAATAAAATTCAGAAATCTTAATTAATTCCACATTTGTAATAAAATATAATATACATTTGTGAGTATAAAAAGTATTGATATTTAAAAGCAATCATTAAAAAAATAAAATTACTTAACTAATCATTCGCTTATGGAGAAGATATCTATTCTATTCTCAAAGTAGATAGGGATAAACTGGCGCAATTTTCGATGAAATCACAATTTAAATTTTAAATTAATATTAGGATTAAATATAATTCAGTAATAATTGTTTTATTATACTCGTAGATACCTATGTATCTTATATCAAATATAGCTATAACTTTTAAGTTATAACTTATGATATTTATTTTTATATCGATTTATTCATTATAATTTGTACAATGTCATTCCTATATAGGACTCGAGACGGATAATCGCTTATTGTAGATTTGACAAAAACCGCCACGATACTAAAGTCAGCGATTATCGTACGCAACACTCAACGTCCACGTGTTCGGCGGACCACTCGATAACCCTTGATAGATATCTTTGCGTATTTTTTTTCTTCGCACTCTCTTACTCTTGGGATTTATTATTAATTTTATCAGAACCAAATCCTCTCTAAACGTCTACACACTGCAAGTCTCACACCACGCGACAACCATCATAATATATAAATATATATTATCGTCATCGGACGCGAATAATTATTATTGTTGCGATAATATTATTATAAATGAATATAATTATATAAATAAAGATAACGATAATAATAATCACCTATCACATATCGGTAATGCGAGCAAAAAGCATTGTGCGTAAACTTATTATAGCCTTATAGGAGTATTTTATTATAATATACTTATAAGTATTATAATATAATTGAATCTTACGTTTCAGCGGCTTCGGGTTGCTCTGTTTCCTTCTAGACATTACGGCTGTTTTCCTCTGACTAACTGTCGGCGATGAGCATCTCATGCACGACTGCCAGTCATTATCAATTAACAGCGGTAGTGGTGATGGCAATTGTAGCAGTGACAGGACAACTGCGATAAACGACGCGTTTTTCAATATTTACTCTTCACGCACACCAGCCCCGGGCAGATATAGATAACGCGGTGCAGGTGGCGACAATACGACTGATTTTATAGCGTCGACTAAACGGTGTCGAACATTTAGATTTAAATACTTTACCTAATATATAGTATTACATATTTCAATGTGTGAAACAATATAGTGGGTTCAGACGTGCAAATTGTTTGACGTAAAAAAAAAAAAAAATACCAACGACAACGAATGTAGTTTCTAAAAACTTTTTACGGTGCAACAATTTGATGGACGAAATATTTTTCTTAAAGTTTTTTTTTTTCGGATTGTTTTTTACGGTAGTGTTAAATTTTTATGTATAAGGTTATTCGAAATTCAATAGGTATTTACTAATAGCAAAACACGCGAATTTTTTTTTCTTTAATCTTCCGTGGTTACATTACGGTTACGGATGGTAATTTTTAAACGTATTATTTTGATGGAGTCAGAGTGCGAGCGCGCACGCGCTCAATTCGCGGACATGTACGGAACAACAAACTTCACGAGTCGGACGCGGCAATGCGACTGACGACGACGGCGGCGGCACACTGTACGATACGACGGAGGCGGTAGCGGCGGCGCCGGACCGGCCACACCGTTATCGGCAAACGAACCCACATAATATTATTATTATTATAAATTATTATTATTATTATTATTATAAATTATTTTTATTATTATAAATTATTATTATTATTATAAATTATAATGTTAAACATTAAATTATTATATTATTCAGACCTCAAGTGATTCTCAAGTATTCTTAAATATTGATATTGCAGTTAATTTTGTTCAAATTTTAGTTTAATAGAATTGTGAAATTCAATTGTCGAAATTCCACACTGCGACTTATATATAATTTAGTATTCATAAATTATAATATACTTGCACGAACCAGTTGGGCACAAAATCCTCAAATAGTAAATTTTAATAGGTACATTATAATTAAAAACTTGATTTTTGTACAGCATACACTTGAAAAATGTGTAATTAAAACGCCGAAATGTATAAAAATTAAATTATTTATGTATTAATTAGAGAATAACTATTCTTTCTATTAGCGTCAAATTATATTTTCATTAGATTTAGTTAATATTTAATAATTATTATATAATATTAATTCTGCATATACTATGTATATAATACAGTTATTCATCTCCAAATTTCTAAGTTTTTTCTAAAACTGCAGTGGTTATTTATTTTACCTATCTAAAGTATAATATAGATGCTCACACAGTCTCACGGTCGTACGGTTCCTATTATTGTCACATATTCGTTATCATTATAATATCGCGTTATAATAAGTTCCAAGTCCAAAAAATTAAAAATTAAAATGACGATAAAGTAATGCACAACTTTAAATAATAGCTTCTGAGTATCGGTAATAATACAAAAACGTGAATTTTGATTAATACAATTTAAAACCCTGAAACTTAGAATTATGTACAAACTAAATTTTATTAAAATTAATCTACCAATTTAATTCGAATTTATAATATAGTTCTTTAGAATGTGGTTAATATATAATAAAAATTTACAATTACACGAGAATTCGCTCTTTAATTAATAATTATAATGATATCATGCAGAAAGAGTGAAGTATTGAAAATTTAGTATGTCCTTATAGATGATCTTTTTAAGATTTTCAAAAAAAAATTTGCACAAGCCTACTTCAACCTTTAGGATTGTCCTAATCCTAATATATCCTATTATTAAAATATATATTTAGGTATAATCATATAAGGTACCCTATATTAGTACAATTTAATTAGCTCCTGAATCTAGATATAAAATATTTTTTCCTTAAAACTTACCTAGGTACCTATTTCATTTAATTAGTTCTTATATTTTGACTATAATTAGTTGGCTCACAATACATTTATTCTAAAAATACGTGGATTACAAAAATGGTATTTAAAATTTAAGTTTTATGCGTTAGTATAAATGATAACATATATCTTAATAATAAAAAGCTAAATAAATCACGTATCATCAGATATCGTAGCTTATTATTACTGTTGGTTTAATAATATTATAAATCGAACAAAACAAAATATGAACATAGTATAACATATTTATAATTATAAATAAAAATAATAAAATATAACATATATATTATAATCTATTTAAGGGTTAAGGCCAATACTTTTATTCTTTTATATTTGTGGTAATTATAGTGTTTTTTTGTTTTTGAGAACTAATTATAAGTTATATAATTTCACAGTTTTAGGAGCAAATTCAATGGCCATATATAAATTTCCCTAATATTGATTGTATACCAGCCTATATTGTGTTGTATAGTGCATTTCTACAAACTACAGTAGTACATTGTAACATTATATCAATTTAAAAACCCTATTCGGGTGAGAATATTTAAAATAGTTAAAAGTTATAAATTACAATTACTTAAGTAGACATATTAAACAGAACAGCAGTTCCTAAACTTTTTTAGTTTATTCATCCCCAAAAATAAAAAGTTCAATCACACTTCCTTTAAATAAATTAAATAAATATTTTTATTATTACATAGTACTATACTAGTATTTCTAGTGTGTATGTGCAATATCAATATTTATATCACGCTTCCCTTGTTATAAGTGCTTTCGTCTCCCAAGGAACCGTGCATCACACTTTGGGGACCGCTGATTAGAAGATATAATTATCTTCTTGACTTTGTAATTTTTAATTTTAATAAATTGTTTTTATTGCCGATTAAATATTCCCAACTATTATTACTACTTCTATATTTAAAAACTAAAAAAATATACAATTATTTCAGGTAGGACGGAATTTTATAAATTTATATTATTATCGTAATCGTGTCTATTAAATATTATTTGAATATAATATGAAATATTAAAAGTATAAAAAATATAAAAATAAAATTATGTAAATAAAATAAAAAATATTATAAATACTCATATTATAGTATTCACTTCACATATAGGTTATTTAAATATAAATTATAGTTTTTTTAACTTCTAATTTAATTGTATAGACTAAAAGGAATCAAAATAATATTACATATCTTTGCGAGGATACTAATTATTTCACAGGGTAGTAAAAACTAAAAATACAAAATTTATATATTTGATTAGATTTTAAATAAATAGACATTTGACTTTTAAAGTTTTAGAATACTATCATGTATCTCATCATATTGCATATGTAATTTTTTTTTTTTATTATTATTATTATTCATAAAAGTTAAAACTAACATTCTATTTGCTTAATATTTTAAAAATCAAAAATACTTTGAACACTAATTTGAATCTTTAATAAAATATAAATCAGTATATGGTACCTTTTACAATTATTTTGAATAATAATTATTAATTTAGTTTCTTGTTATTAGTGATTGCAATTAACTAAATGGATGAAATTACGCGTCTATATTTATTTAAAGAAGATAACTTAGAAATTATAAGTACATCTAAGAAATCACTATAAATAATTTTCTTTTTTAATTAATTTAAAATTTGTACATGCCATTTATTTAAAAAGTAAAATAAATTAAAAATTATTCCTAAGTTAATTTTAAAAATTCCTTTATTCCTTTTAAAATATGTAGATTTACAGTAGCGTTTTATTTGTCCCCAAACGAAATTTAAAAGAATTTACTTAGAATATCTCGATTACTCAGTAATAGATAAGTATTTACTTGTAAGTCATTACTAATAAGTCTCTAGTCGGCATTCACTTTTAGACTTTATTAAAGGTAAGACGATAAAGTGCTAGATTAAAGATATTGATAGATTATAATATAGATAAATGATTAACAAGATTTTTGATTATCAAAATATTTTAATTTCTATAGTTATTTTATAAAATATAAAATATACATATTGTAAGATATAACAAAAAATTTAAAAAAAGAAAAAATTCTAGGTACTATACAATTTAACTTTTGAAAAATAGTGCTCTCATAGCAGTTATAATAAAAAAAATATGTATACAAATATATATAGTTTAATTCCATTATATGATTATCATTCATTATCTACATAAAACATTTTACCAAAAAAAATCCAAAATATTATTGAAGATCATTGCGAGTATTAAATAATATGAATGTACATAAATTTGATTTAATTTGCAATATGTATAAACAGTTCAACCTATGCAAGACAACCCACATCCTCTTTATATCAAAACTTTATATACTCATATGTTTTTATCTTTGTCTGACTATTGATTTATATTTTAAATACACATATTACATAACATATAATAACTGTGAATCTTTGTAAACCATTGTCCGTTGTAATCAGTGTATCATTTGGACCAAGTACAGACTGCAGAAAAACAGCGAGACTCTTACGGATTCAATCGCAGATAATAAAAAATATATAAATCACAAAAACGATGATCAAAATAAAATATAAAATTTTAGTATGATTACTAATAAATAAGTATTTAAAAATTGTTATTATTCCACGAAAAAGATATAAAAACTAATTTAGGTCCTAAATTACAATAATTTATAAGTTTGCAGTAATATTTTTTTGATTACAATTTTTTCTAACTTTTAACTATACATTTGCATAATAGATTGCAATAGTCTTGTTATATGAAAATATCCGTTTTAGTTGATTTTTTATTTTTAAAATAGTTGAAACACTCATTTATTATTAATCTCTGAAGACCGTAACAGACATAACTGTAATGGAAATTTTCATTTAAAATAAATATACAATACACCTACATATACAAAAAATTATTTATATTGAGAAAAATCAAGAAACTTTATTTATTTAGTTTATAAAATTATACTAATTTCATTGTAAAAATAAATACTATACATTGCTGAAGAAAACAAAAACCTCAAAAGCATATGTAAGATTTGAACAGTAATATAATAATATAAATATAATATACAAGTTTTTATGTACGTATATAAAATAATATATTATACTATTTCATTTTTACCCAATACTAGAACATTAATCTTTCAAGCAGACAGCTACGACGCTCGTTTTGATATAGTGTAAAAAATTAAGCACATTCTACATTTGATTTATGCTGAATGTTTTATCAATCATCATACAAATTCCAACAATAACCGAATCACAGTACATCAGAAATTCAGAAATCAACCTTTATATATAATTTACATTACAATGCTATATCATATGATAATGATATTTCCGATTAGCGACATACGAATGGACGTTTCAAAGTAATTTTCAACTCCATAAATGGTTATCAAAATGATTCTTATTTAAGACAATTTATTATAACAGATACAATCTATCATGTATATGGTATATCATATTTTATTCATTATATCTATCGATTTTAAAAACTATATAAGACAGAATAGTAAAGCATATCTAAATTTATAGCTTAAATATTATTTAATTTTTACGATGTCCAACGCGAATAAAAACTGATAATACTTCGTTTTTAAGGCTGATCAAAACATCAATTCATAATTATTAATACTAAAAAAGTTTGTTCCAAATTAATTTTTAGACTATGGAATAATTTTAAAATAATTTTTGTATGTTG